GGGCATTTTCTTTCTTTCTTTCAACGAAATCCCTAATTTCAAAAAGTTAATGGGGAATGAGCTCAAAGGAATTTGACTGTGCTGCCAAAAATAATAACTAATACCAAAAACTGCTAGCTCAACTTTTCCCACTAACATAAAAGCTATGGAAACTTAACTGCTAAATATACATACATGATCAAAACAGGCAATTTCCTAGTTTGCATTCTGTACTATCACGCCTCAGATTCATCTCACCTTTGAATAGCTTCTCCGTGATGTAAGACTTGTTAGCAGGATACACAGTTAACAGTTATGATCAAACAAAAACAGAGCTCGTACCTGCAATAGCCATTCCTCCAGCTGTCTGGGGGCACCTGTGTGCCCTGGGTCTCCATAATTGAGCACAACTCTAAAGTTAGACTCATCAAGAAAACACACATGCACCTACACTAACCAATGCCTGTGAATTCTGGGAAAGTTGAGCAGTCGTCTAGCCCAGATAACAAGCCGGGGATGTAAATGTGGGGCACAAAATCTATGCACTCAGCTTCCAGTTCCTCCTCGTTCGTGTTGAGCAGGGATAAGTTTTCAAAGTCTTGACAATGTGATCCGATTTCTGCACTGAAATCATTCCCTAGTGTATCTGTGGGGTGGAAGATTTGATCGGTAGTGGATGTGCATGGTTCATTGTACTCAACTGCAATCTTTTTTGACTTTGATTTAGAAGCCTTTGCTGGATCAGAATGAGAAAACAACTGTGTGCCTACCAACAACCGCCTACGGCTGTTGGTCGTGCGGCGCTGCAGAAGAGAAATGAAAAAACAAAAAAGAAAAGCCCTAGCTTGTGTGCTAAGAGGAAGATTTCAAGTGGAAAATTAGTAAAATCTGGGGCTAGTGGGGTACGGAGTAAATGTGAAGCACTCGTTGACCAAAATAAAAAGGAAGTTTAGTCACCGGTCTGTTTCCAAAAATACAAAATGCTAAAAATTTGGAACGGAGACTGGCCCTAAATGCTATTGCTCCGAAATAAAAAGAAGATTTACAAATGAATGAATAAAATGAGTTTGAAGCTATATATGTTTTTCAAATTCATATACACCTGTTTCGAGACAAATCAATTTGTAAAGGAAAGGATAATGGACTCAAATGATCTGGAAACAATACTCAGCAAAAAACACCTCAATTACTTACAAATGTAGCTTTAATTTTGGTTTCAGTCTTTACAGAAATGCAAATATGATTTCCAAGTAATATATGCAAGTGGCAGCATCAATGAAAAAGCAGGGCTTGAACCTGTCATTCTGGGGGGTGGGGTGGGGTGGTGGGAGATCTTGGACCATTTTATGAGTCTAATTACAATGAGCTCTCTTGGCTTAGCTATCTCAAGTAATGTACAGTACTACAATTTGAAGAGAAAAAAACATACAACTACCAGTGCCTCTGCCTCCACACAAATTTATCCACAAATTCTACATCACCCATCCTCCACCACCACCACCATCATCTTCTTCTTCTTCTTCATCCTACAACAACAACAACAACAACAACAAATATGAACAATTTTACAGCAAAACCACTATATTCACAGTTTTACATACTATTTGATGGGAAGGTATCAGTAAAACAGCAACAAATCTGTACACATAGTTACCGTGAAACCTACGAAACCGTGAGCCCCTCAACTCGTATGCACTCTGATAGTCCAACTCCTCCATGCCTATTTGGCGGGCCATCTCCCTCATGCTCAAGAGGTTTTGACCGGTGATGCTCCTTCCAAGGGTGAAAAAGAACCGCTTGTTCTCGGCTCGGTGTTGCTTGAGCCAGCCCAAAATGGTTATGTCCACCGAAAACCTCACGGTAATGGGATGGCCCCTCGTTGAATCTACATTGCTGAAAAAATCCAGCATCGCCCCAATAATCTGCCTCAGCCCCTGGAGAACTTCCTCGCATCTTGTTATGCTACCCTCCACCCTCTCCAGCGCTCTTATGCAAGCCTGGAGCCTTTCTCTCGCTTGCCCTCTTGCGTGGAGAAGAGGGTGGAGTGCAGCTTGATCCATATGCTGTGCAACCGCCAACAATACCGCATCAAGAGCATGATTATAGGCATCAATCCGCGGCTGAAGCCTCCTTCGCAGCCGGGCAGCTCTCATTTTCAGTGAGTTGAGCCTTGTCTCTTCGAACAACACCCTGTCGGACCTCAGTCTGAGACTTGTCCATAACAGCCTCATCATTTAGGAGCAAAATGAGCTTACACAATGAAAAGCGTGAAGTGCTTTGAACCTTTTTCCAACCTTCAAGTTACCTGGAATGTCAAATTTACAAAAAAAACATAATAAAGCAGATCGATGCGAACCCCAGAAGCAACTCCCAAGAATCTATGTTAGCCTAAACATAAAAGTGATAGCAACTACAAGGCACAAGAAAGTAGACTGCATCAAAACTTTAATGCAAAAATGAGTTAGAAGTTTATGCTTTTAGTGACCAGACAAGAATCTTTTTGCTTGGATTATCAAACATGAAAATGCTAACAGTCTCATGGATGCATAAATTGGATAAGCCCAAAAATCAAATAAAACAGAGTGGAACAGAAAACAACACGATTATATACCTACAGTTTTCTTTTCTTTTCTTTTCTTTACCACCAAATGGAATTACAATTTAGAATTTTTTTTCTATTTTCTTATTCCTCCCTCATAAAACTTGTTCCCACTTCCAACGCAAATGAATGAAAGTCTGGGCTGTGTAGGCTTAGCCGGAGGAATGTTCACAACACCTCAGCTCTCGCCTTTGGATCCATATTTTTTCTACTGCAATAATCAAAAGTAACCACTATCTTTTTCTTTTCTTATTTTTTTGGTTTGTTTGTTCGTTTGTCTGTTTGATTGATTGAAGAAATCAGAATTTAACTTCTTAACCTTCCCAAAAAT